CAACCTAACTGAAGAGTAAAAATCAAAATAAGGTTTTAACCCAATTCTCAAGAATGAATCAAAAATTTTTTTAAAAAAGTATCAGCATTAATTTGAATCTGTTTTTCACTGAGTCAGTGCTACTTGGAAAAAACAGAGAAGACGCTTTTTTGGTGTTTTTTTCTGTAAGATTATGGAAAGAAAAAAGGGTTCAGCCTCTGGATGGTTCAGTGTGTTAGTGTTTGTCTATCTGACGAACAGTGTGTGTGTGTGTGTGTGTGTGTGTGCGTGTGTGTGTCTGCCCACGCCGCTCAGGCTGACATGTAGGAACATGTTGCTGACGACTGACCTGTTTAAAGAGACGCTTGTATTCACAGCGCTCAGCAGAGGAAGAGACATATTTTCTTTGTTTCCTTTAAATCAAAACATTTTCCTGATTCTCCTCACGTCAACAAAATACTACAGTAAAAGTTATTTTGTCTTTACGTGAGCCATTTGTTTTATTTTTTACCAAACTTGCAGAGATAACCAGCCTCTTCCGTTCTTTAACTTTGTAATGTGAAGGTTTTGTGTCTGTGTGTTACTGGTTAGAGCTCCAGTATAAAAACATAAAACCAGTCTGTTCCTTATTGCTGCTGATAACTGTGTTTTAAGGGAAACTGAGACTCCAGGAAGTGAAGGTGGACTTTACTCACAGAGGAGAAATCCTGTGTGTTCACTGCTGCTGACGCCTCCTCAGCACACTGCAGGATATTCCCCGCTGTGTGTGTGTGTGTGTGTGTGTGTGTGTGTGTGTGTGTGTGTGTGTGAGTCATCGCGTACAGTGCGTCCAGCAGCAGTCACTTCAGCTTAAAGATGAAAAGCAAACAAAGCATTTGCATCTTTTTAACTCCGGTTTCAAACAAATTGATACGAGCGTCTTTTATCTGTCACTCCTTCTTGAGTCACTGATGAGTCAGTCTGTTGTTTCTTTGTCACTGAACTTTTCTGTCTGATGTTACAGAAAATATTCTGCACATGCGCTTATGAGAAATCGTCGTGTTTACAAAAAGAGTGGGTCGCAACTGAAGTGTGTAAAGACAGTGAAACTGAAGTCATTTAAACTAAACTTAACCCTGAAATATGACACCAGTGGAAAGAAGGGTAAAAATAGAGATTTCACAAAAATAATTTAAAAAGTTGTTTTTCTTGATTGTCTTGCCGGCAGAATGGCGGCCAGGAATAAATGAGATGAATGTGCAGTGGAAGCTACGTGACATAAACCCTGACAATCTCTACAGTCTGTGCAGCGCAGGGAAGTAGGCGACCCTAACCCCTACCCACACTTTTGCTTGGATGTTTGTTGTTTATTTTTGCAAGTACTCAACAATAATTTAATGTGAGTCAGGGCCGTAACGTTTGAGACGGGTCTCAAGATAAATTTTAAACTTTACCAGCTACACTGACCATTCTAGAGCATTTTGAAACAAAAATCTTAGATCAGTTGTTCTCACAGTGTTGATGACTAACGGCGCATTCACACCAGGATAGTCTGGGAGACTCGCTTCGATTGGGCGGGGATTGCCAAAAAATTTCACACCTTCATTTGGTTCGGTTCACTTTCACACTGCACTTTTTAAAGTGGACCAAACTGCCTGGACAACGTCACGCAGTTACAACAGCTGCTCGTTTGGGGGCGGAATTGCCCGAAACGACCACTGACCAGGAAGAAAAAAAGCATGAAGAAGAAGAAAACCCAGCTCACTGATTGGCCAGGACCAAAAACAGAAATCCATCCAACTAACCAGCGAAATATATTTCTCTGACCATATATCAATAAGCGCCTGCACCTCCTCACTACTCCACGTCTGCCCACAAGACATATTTGAACTTTTTCTTTTCTTTACCTCTGCTTCTCCCAGTTCGTTCACGGCTTTGTTTTTTGTCTTCCCAAAATGCACTGCGCTGTACGTCACTTCTTCTCTTTGGTTCGCTGGATAGTCCGTTTGCATTTCCCACTGTAAACAAGACCCCCAGTTTCCAAGCGGACCAGGATTTGCTCGTTTGGTCCACACCAGAGTTCAAATGATTGTTCACACCATGACAAACGAACCGAACTATCCGTGGAAGTGGACCAGGGTTTGTTTAAAGCGGACCAAATAGCGCCAGTGTGAATGCGTCCTTAGTGTCGCTGTAGGGAGCCAGCATATGACTTTTTTATGACTTTTATACGACATACTAACACTCTACAAAAACTATAACGATCGACAGCGATATGGTCTCTCTGACACTGATATTATATTCTAGTTTTCCACTTTATAAAACAACTAAAATAATTGTACCAACACACCACCGTACAAAGGCAAATTTTAAACAGGGTTGCAGCGATACACAGCTGATATACATCTCTGGCATTTTGTGCATTTGTTTCCTGCACCTCTTTAATAATCTATATTGTTTTTATTTGTTGTCTTTGCACTGGTTCTTTCCTAGTTTGTCCTGCGACTGCTGCACAACAAATAAAGTATCTTATCTCAAACTAATACAAGAGCATGGTAAACATTATCCCTGCTAAACATCAGCATGTTAGCATCATCTTTGTGGGAAACTTGAAGCTTAAAGCGCCCCTGTGTGTGTTACAGCCTCACAGTGCAGCCTGCATGGCTGTAAACTACTGTTTTCCTTATAAAGAAATTGATTAACTAACGATTGATCAGCTGATCTTCTGAGCTCCACACCACAGCTCACAGTGAAGTAACACAACTGTGTCTTCAACATCTTCTTGACTCGGTCCGTCAGCTCTTGTATCAGAGTTGAGTGTAACTGGCATCCTGCAGAGTGTGTGTGTGAGTCCAATGTCAAAGTCTTATATAATACACACAAAGTGCTGATTGTACTGCGAGCAGAGTGAACGTCTGTCAGTCCGCTGTGACTCCGCCTGCTCCACTTTTTAAAACTCCACCGACCACATTCTTCTCTTTAAACCTCAACTCCACACCAGGAAACATGCAGCACGCTGACCTTTGACCCCCCCGGCTGCCGATCTGTGTCACCACAACCAGAGTAAACACAACTCTGGAGAACTTGTTTTACACGCTGTCATCCTGTAGCTACTGTAAATCAGGTCTACACGCACCTTTTACACCTTTTACACATTACTTATCCCCTACGTGAAAAAAGAAAGCTTAACAAGACTTTCTTCTTCTTTTCTGAGTTTGTTTATTTATTTATTTTTTTAAATATAAATTGAATACAGTTGGGTTTGTTTCTTGACTGCAGGTCAGACACCATAGTAATTTAAGATATCATTACTTTTGTCCATTTATAGACACAGACAGCTAATGAACTGATGAAGTAGCCTCAGACTTCATCTGATTATCGGCTGATTTTAGATATATGTCGATATTTTGTATTGCTGTTATAATCTTGGCTGGTAAGTAACAACAAATTGGAGCAGAGGAATGCATAATGACACCAGTTAATGGTGGATAAATGTCATTGTTGACAGGCAAAAATTAATTTAATGTTTATATTACAAGAGTGTCCACAACACATACTACTTCACATAATGTTGATTATAGTTAAATATAGTTTATTGTACTTTTAATGGTTTAACAACACATTTTAAAAGCTGTTTATAGCTGTTAATTTAATTTTCCACAAAAATATAGTGTGTAACATTAGGTGTCATGCATTTGACCAGTTCATTTTTTTAACTACATGTCTGGTTCAGTATTTGGGACATAACTCTTTAATAACTCAAACCAAACCCATTTTTAAGATGATTTAAACTCTGTAAGTATTTATTTGCAGCCCTACTTTATTCTGCCAAAAGCTAGGTACGTGACAGTTATGCTACATTTTGGTAATACAACGGTATAATTAGATGACCGTAAACTAGATGCCGAGTGCCAAAAATGAGCTACAAGTCCTAACATGAACATTTAAGTGACTTTAAAGTTCCACCACAGGAGATAAACAGCCCACCAAGGATTAATAAAGTCACCACTGAACACCATTCACTCATTACAACCAACTAAAACAACATTACTGTCATTTAAAAACTATTTCTCATCATGTTCCTGCCCAGGAAATTTGCACAGAGGTGGAAGGTAACTAAGTACATTTACTCAAGTATTGTACTTGAGTATAGTTTTGAGGTACTTATACTTTACCTAAGTTTTTCAATTTTCTGCCACTTACAACTTCCCCTTTATGTCAGAGGAAATACCTGACAGCTTTATCTGCAGATTCAGATTATTAACACAAATATAAATCAACTAGTAGACATGATGTGTTGTTATCAAGATACTGATCCCTTGTTTGGTGACATTCACAAACTAACCATGTTGTAAAATTGTGAATACAAAGCTTTAGCAATTCTGCAGATTCGGATTCTTAACAAAATATATCAATCAACAAATACATTATTAAGTGTTGTTATTATTATGATAAAACCTTATTGATGCCTGCCTTGGTGAAATTCACAAACTACATACTTTTGTACTTTTACTGCAGTAAAACTATGAGTGCAGGACTTTTTTTGCAGCAGAGTATTTGTATAGTGTGGTATTAGTATTTTTTGCTTAAATAAAATATCTGTGAATCAGTGCGGGTGACCCAGTAAGAGCAGCATAAAGCTGTCAAAGCAGCAGCTGGTCTCCAGACCCTCCGGGACCTGGAGGCCACCGGCTGTTCCCCGCCACCTGCCCGGCCACCAGGCACCCGCACCCGGCCACAGCCTCCACACAGCACCGCAGAGAGAAGCGGTTGTTCTCGTTACATTTTAACACAAACCCTCATTATTCTTAATAATAAACTAGTTTCTATGTGGACAAAGGTGATAACCACGATGTGATCAGTATTTTAAACACGTTAAACAACACAAACAGCAGCTTTCTTCTTCTCTCCATAAGTTAGGACGGTCCGGCCGCAGTGTCCCGGGATCGTAGCCGACAGACGGCTCCCCCGGTGCGGCGCCACGGAGACAAGTTTGCGTGTATTAAAGGTGTCGGTCCGGTCGGTGCTGGTCTGTCACTCACCACATGTAGCTAGTCCCATCCAGGGTCTCCTCTGCTGCATGGGTGTCGTCGGTCGGTGAGGCCGGGAGTGGGAGCGGGAGCAGCGGACGGACGGCAGGAAGAAGAAGGAGAAGAAGATGGAGGAGAAGCGAGCCGTTAGTCCGTTTGTTTGTTCCTACTCCGCCATCGTTCCCCCGGTGGCTGCCTCGACCTCGACACTCACCGAGCTCCGCACACAATGGCGAAGTGGAGCAGCAGCGGCGGTGGAGGTGGAGGAGGAGGAGGAGGAGGAGGAGATGTGTCACTGAGGAACGTCAGTCAAGACGGCAAGAACCGCCATTACCCCTACTTCCGGTGACAAACTTCAAAATAAAAGCTGCTTCCGGTTTAGCAGATACAACGTTACTCTGGAGGCAATGTATTTAATGCATTAAAGGGATAGTTCAGATTTTTTTTACTGGGATTGTTTGTTTAATCCTTAAAAACTGAACAAATTGACTTGATTTCTTTTGAAAACAATGAGCAACAAAAGACGATGACCCAAAAAATTTGCAAGAAATTAGAGAAAATTAAAAACAAAAAAAAAATAGTTTTCTCCCAAATTTTATTTTATTTTATTTTTTTTTTTTATTATATATAATTTTCCTAAATCGTTTTTTTTTTTTTTTTTTTACATCTTGTGGGACATTTCTTCCCCAGCTGCTCATTACTTTTTTCCCATGATTTCTAAATAAATCGCACCAATTTTTAAATAGTAATTTAAATACCTGCAAAAGGCATCTGAAAGCAGCACAAGAAATGTGATGTCACTCCAGGTTTCAATGGGTTAAAGTAATTTTTCAAAACTATTTTATGCCTTGAAAGGATAGTTCAGATTTTTTTGTGGGATTGTATGTGGTACTTATGGAGTATTATTATTATTATTATCATAGGTAGAATAATACATTCATTCTGTTGCTTTGCATGTTTCGGACATTTTTCAGCTTTATTGCCCAGTTTAACACATTTGTTAGAAAGTAATCAAATGTAATAAGTTACATTACTTTGATGGAGTAATTGCATTACTTATTACATTTTTAACTATTAATCTGTAACCTGTTACATTTCAAAGGTGTACTCTCTCGTAACTGGTAATGAAAATACTCAAAGTACAAGCAAGAAAATTAGTAGTTAAGTGAAGTACTTAGTTACTTTCAACCACTGTAGTACAGCCAATATTAAACATATTTATCAACATTCTCTTTGGTATTATTATTATAGTACTGGTCAATGTTGGCTTAGAAATGAATAAATAAATAAAATGAATACGTTAATAAATAAATTGATATATTTGCAAATATTGAATTATATTAATTATATAATAAAATACTTTGCATTTTTATGAATTTTTAGATTAAACATATTGTTAATAACATTAATTATTTAATAAAATAATATATTACTATTACACTTTTTCAGTGGGGAAAAAAAGAAACATATACTTTTCTATAAATAATATAAATAAAAATATAGTAGATAAAATAATAATCATTGACTAAATAAATCAATAAATAAAACACTGAGTGCCGGGCTTATGTACAAAAAGTGCATAAATAATATGCAAAAATTATCATAAAAATATAAAATAAAACAATGTGAGTTTTTTTTGTAGTTAATGTATCTCACATGTGTTTTACTGTATATTAAGTACATGTTGGTACACATACAGGCATCATTAAAATACATAACTTTTGTGCAGCTTTAAGGATTTTTCCCTTATATATAAACTGTATAAGGAAATTAACCAGTCATAAACTAGACTGCTTTACAGTGTCATTTTATGTAGTTACACAGGTCACCATAACTTCATATACAGCCAGCAAAATATATTACTATATAATAATATGATGATAAAAAACATATAAGTGTCATGATGGGCAAGTATATAAAAAACTATAGCTGCTGTGCAGCGATGGGGCGGGTCCGGGCATTTTTAGGCAGTTCTGAGCAACAAGCAGAAGAATTGGAAGACAATTTAGGAATTTAGCAACACAATCTGCCTTTTGCATCAGCTGAGGCTTGAACTCACAACCTCTGAGACTAAGAATCAATTTCTATCTCACTGAGCTAATTAGTCAGTGACAATTCATGTGTAGCTTCACAAACTGACAAAGCCAGACGTGCAGGTTTAGCAGCCGTCCATGCATGGAATTTATTTTAACAATGATTGATTTGCTTCATAAGTGAAAAACTGATGTTTAACTAGTTGAGCTATGTGCAAAGTGAGAAGCCTCAGATGGTTTCACACTGAAGTATTGACGCTGGATCTTTGTGCAAAGTTTGGTTTATTTTCAAGCATGAGAAGGCAGATTTTCTAACAGGAAGAAGACTTGAAGATGCTGCACAGTGATCAGTCACGCTCAGGCAATTTTAAGCAATAAGCTGGAGCACAAGAAGATGTTTACATTACAATGTGGATTCAGCACCAGTTGAGGCTCAAACTCGCAACCTCTAAAACCTAAGACGGTCATTTACCACTCTGAGCTAATTGGCAAGTAGCAACTCAACAGTGGCTTCACAAATTGAGTAAGCCATTCACTGTTGTGTAGGAAAGCAGCCATCCGTGCAGGGAAAGGCAGATTTGAAACCACTTTAAAAAATTCAGTTATTAAGACAAAAATCTGAAAATACACATATTGCATCTAGACAGCATGGAGATGTTGGTAATTTGTTTGTAACAATGATTGATTTGCTTCATAAGTGAAAAACTGATGTTTAAAATTGCCATTTTTACATTGACTCCAATTGTTCACATTAGAGCGAAATTCGAAATGCTGTCAAAAATTCAGTTTTTGAGATAAACTTCGAACTTTAGACGCTTGCTGTAGCGTCACCATCAGGACTATTGGCTTGACTTTACAGCTGAGGATATCTGGCATGAGACTGGACCTTTGTGCAAAGTTTGGTGAGTTTTCACCCATGGGAAGTAGAAGAAGAATGATAAGGATGACTAGGATTACAATAGTGTCCTGGCAGCTTAGCTGCCCGGACCCTAACAAGTCTTATTTTTTTAACATGTGAAATATAAAGCTTTTAGTTTGAAGGCCAACAGGAAACATTGTCCTGACCTCACTGTGATGAGTTTGATGCAGCTCCTGCAGAGGTGCTCACAGCACACTCACAGAATAATGGTGCACTGTGGGACCTTTCTAAAGACACACACAGCCTCCACACAGGAGAGGAGGCTCAGTCAAGGGTCTGATAAGGATTCAAATGATGTGACTCACCTGCTATGGCTGTGGCTCCTGGGCCAAATCTGGCCCTCCATAGGGGGCCGACCATTTTATAATTCAACAATAATTTGATTCACATGGGGTTTTTTTGTTTTGTTTTTTGTGGCCCTACTTTGAATATAAATAAGGTGTCAGAAAGCATAAAAACACATTTACAATACAGCTTGTTTATTTAAAAAAAAGTGCCAGTGGAGTTCACTGTTCACTGATCCAGCCAAACACCTGCAGGTACTGGAGATTTCATAGTGATGTCATAGCTTGTGCCTTCCACCATCAACATCATCATCAACATCTTATGGAAGCTAAATATAGACAGTAATAGAGGAAGTGCTCAGATCTTTTATTTAACCCTCAGGCATCAGTTTAATTTACAGCCCTCTTAAGTCATTAAGGACAAAAATGTCCACTTCCAATAAATTGCTATAAAAACTTTACGGATTGATATTTTTTCTGCTTTTTTGGGTTAAATCTTTTGATTAACTTAAGTCCTGATCAAAACTATCAAATACTGAATAATTATCAGGTTTTTAACCCTTTAAATGCCAGTTTGATGACATGATGCTAATATTTGTTATGACAGGCTGTGAGGCCGCCTGTAAGGCCTCCTGGATTTAGCATCAACTTCCGTTTTTCGAGCCACTTTGAAAACGTTGTGTGTGCAAAAATGTAAATCAGTACCGTAACTAAAGCTGTCAGATATATGTAGAAGGAAGTAGCATGAAAAGAAAAGACTCAAGTAATGTACAAGTACCTTAAATTTGCTGTGAAGTACAGTGCGTGATGTCCTTAGCTAGATCCCAGCACTGAATATAAAATAAAGCAAAGGCCAGTGGCGTAAGGTCAACACTGGTGACTGTCAGTCTTGAGATTCTGCACCTAAACTAGCTACCTGATATCGTATTGTCTCGTCACATGATCAAATAAAGACGTGACACCAACATACATGTTCCCAACGATCATCATCACACACCTGTATATGACAAAAATATCAAAGAACATGAGAAATTATTTATCTAACTGAATAGTTTTTTTTAAATATATAGTTTATTCAGATTTTTAGTGTATGCAGAATAAATATTTTAATCTTGTTATAGATTGCTATGATGAGAGTCGGGATGAGAGTCAGCACCTCAAAATCTGAGGCCGTGGTTCTCTGCTGGAAAACGGTGGATTGCCCCCTCTGGGTTGGGAGAGAGTTACTGCCTCAAGCGAGGGAGTTCAAGTATCTCAGAGTCTTGTTCACGGTGAGGGTAGAAGTGTGTGCAGCGATGCAGGCGCTGCGCCGGTCCGTCATGGTGAAGACGGAGCTGAGCTGGAAGGCGAAGCTTTCGATTTACTGGTCCATCTGTGTCCCAACCCTCACCTATGGTCATGAGCTCTGGGTAGTGACTGAAAGAATGAGTTCTTGGATACAAGCAGCTGAAATGAGTTTCCTCTGTGGGGTGTCTGGGCTCAGCTTTAGAGATAGGGGGAGGAGTCAGACATCTGGAGGGAGCTCAGAGTAGAGCCGCTGCTCCTTCATGTCGAAAGGAGTCTGTTGAGGTGGTTCAACATCTGATCAGGATCCTCCTGGGCGCCTCCTGTCAGAGGTGTTCTGGGCACATCCCACTGGTAGGAGGCCCCGGGGCAGACCCAGAACACACTGGAGGGATTATATATCTCATCTGGCCTTTTAAAGACATATAGCTCATAGCAAATGGCACTATTTTTAATTTAATGTGAGTTCTTCTATGAACACAGGAGCAGCTCTGAGGTGGCAATCTGAGTCATTTAGCTGGTCATGAATGACGGAGTTAAGTTTACGCTGAGCTACTCAGATGTTACGTGTACGTAGTTTACTGCAAGTTCTTTTGTTTAGGAGCATCTGAACGCAGTTAGACCCCCTCCATGTTTCTCTTTACTTATTATTTTTCTTTGCATTAAGCAACTGATCAACAAGGGGCTCCTCTGGTTTATCTGAATATGTATCAACGTAAAAGAAATAATTTATTTTAATTAACCATTTTGTTTATTTTTTCCTGCCCAATATTTTCAGCAATAACAGTTTTCTCAAGGGTTGAAATATCC